TCCCCACTTGACCTTGAAATGGTCATGAAAATATGGGTTCAAGGACATTGTCAGGGTCATGGTTTGGTCTCCCCTCGACATCCAACAATTTTTAAAATAAGTCACCTTGTACATGTAATGACACATTTTCAATTGAAAAGTTATTTAATTTAGTACAATAAAATGTCGTAAAATCAATATTTATATTTATACAGATATAGAATATTTGTCGTTAACTGTTTCGTACAAGGTGAGTCTAGAGTGCCACCAGGCGCGAATATACAGGGTGTTTGATAATTAATGAAAAATCTTTTGCATAGGAGCAAAATGGATTAAACTGAGAAGAAAAGTCCTGTACAATTTTGCAATTTTTGCAATAGTTAACAAGATATTAATTGCTAAAAATTGCCGAAAATTGATTTTCAATAATTTTTTACTCAAAAACTATCAACTTTACAGAAAAACTGTGAGAGATAAAAATTGTTTATTTTCTTCTCATAAAGTTTTAAGAATTAAAAAAAAATTTTTTAATACCGTATTTTCTCATGTTGGTAAAAATAAGAAAATGCAATACTAAAAAGTTGATAAAAAATTCTGAAAAAATTCTTAGAGCTCTATGAGAATATAGTAAACAATTTTTGTCTGTTGCAAGTTTTCTGTAAAGCTGGTAGTATTTGAGTAAAAAATTATTGAAGACTAATTTTCGATAATTTTTAGTAATTAATATCTTGTTAACTATTACTAAAATTGTAAAATGGCAAAGGACTTTTTTTTCAGTTTAGTCCATTTTGCCCCTATGCAAAAGATTTTTCATTAATTATCAAGCACCTTGTATACAATTAAAAAAATATCGTATATAAGATTCAAAATATAACATGTTAAAAATTATATAGCATTTATACATAGATAAATATAAAGATTTGTACGACCCGTAACACGACGGAGTGTATAATTCATGCACTTTTAAATTACAGAAAGAAGGAAAAAGATGAAACAAATAAAGAATCAATTATTTATTATTTTTCTTACTATTCTGTATTATTAGGGAGTTTTTGCAATACCGTTTATTTAGATACGGTGAACGCTAAAGTCAC